GGCTTTCCCAAGTCGCGTATCGGTAGGGTCAGGGGGAGGGCATGGCCTCGAACCGGGCTTGCCTATCTCCAGCTGAGGGAGATGAACGGATGGCCGTCCGCTGACAAGCGCCACGAAGCGGCATTCGCTGTGCCGGTCGCCTGGCCATGTCATCAATACGAGATGGGGGACGCAGCTGTGTGTCCGCCTATGTGCTGCATGGTCTGTCATGGTGTGGCAGCAACAATTGCCTGTCTTTTATTTGTTCGTCTTGCGTTTGACGCCCACTCTCCCGCTCTCTGCCGTCTTCCAGAGCTGACCAGTCTCGTGGATTCTCTGACGCCGACCCGCGCGATTACCGGCCTCTAGCGGATGCCGATCCTCGCGCTGGTTGACGCCCTGGCTTACCATGTAGCCCTAGCGAAAGGGTTTCTCATAATACGAGTCTCGCTAGCATTCGTATGGCGCCCGGGCTCCCCATCGAAAAGATCAACTCATGCGAGTGTGTTGTCAGCGGGACAGCGACACAGCATCCGGCCTTCCAACCCCCCTGAGAATCCTTGCTGCGTGCCCACTCTTTCTGGCTACGTTACTTGGACATCGTCCGATCGGTCGCTCGAAGCCTGGGGCACAGCTGGGGTCCTAGGCTTATGTGGACCAAAGAACAACCCAAGAACTTCGGATGAATCGAAATCATAAGACAACAGACACCCAGCCGCTCCGCTCGTAAACGCACGCGGCCACACGTTTATTCTCCTAGTCGTCTGACCAAACCTGACCTCTCTTGACCAACGCAGCCATCATGTGTTGTGGTTTGACCAGGGCGCTTTCGCACTGGTCGGTCGAACCTAAATGCCACCACCCAAGCAGCTCCATTACGCAATAGTCAGCTTTTCTTGGTTGGGACGCAAGACCCGTGGCAGAGTGTAATGATGAAGAAGGAAAACAGCCTGTCAGGCGCACCGTTGGTAGTCTGGCCGGATTGCCGTGATTACCTTCATCCCTAGCATGCATGTCTCACGCTGGGGGAGCCTAAAAGCCCTACTTGATTGTGCAAATTGTACAGGAACACATCCGCCCCAAGCCTCCCTACGGAACTGCGACAGCCTCCTGTGAGAGAAAAGGAACGACTTTCAGGTACCCCGACCAGCACGTCAGAAAATAGTCCAAGCCAAAAAATCTTGATCAAAAAACATACAACACCAGGGATTCGCCGGTGGTCACCCACCCGACTACTGGTCTGGCCCTTATTGGTTTATCTAGGGGAGAGCGGACGGGATCCCGAGGTTTCCAATAGGTATGGTCGTATGTGCTGCAGAGAGGCCATTCCCAGCATCATGTTCGCCGTTGCAAGGCGTTGTTCGGGGCGCGTCAGCCGCAGAGCCAAGAAAACTTCTTTGTTCCCAAGAGGCGGGGGAGCAGCTCCAGGCCACTAAAACTCTCCGACCAAGGCACAGTCGATCTCCCCCTAAAATACAACTCTCGGCGAGTCGTTAGTGTCGCCCAGCGCTGACTTTGACACATAAGCGTTAAGCTTCATCTTCACCGTCGAGCTAGCTTAAGTTCAGGGGCTTAAGGCTGAAAGAACCGAGAGAGGTGGCACAAAGGACTGGTTCGTGCGACCCGTTGTGGAGGGTGCTGCGGAACGGTTGTGCGCCCGAAGCCGGACTGTCCATAATAAGCACATGCGGCTAATTGGAAGGGCAGTGGTTGGGCAGACGTAGGAAGAGGGTGGGTGGAAAGGATGTCTGACACCTCGTATCCATCGCATGATGTGTGATGGTTGGGCTGAGGCGGGTTTTCGTTGTTCTCGCCAATGGCTTTCTGCCCGCTTCGGCACTGCCACTGCGTAACGTTGTGCATGGCGTTGTCCGGACGGACAGAAGTAGCGACGTTGGACGCTTGCAGCCTCTGTGTGAAGTCAGAATAAGTTTGTTCTTTGAAATGGTTCCAACGCACGGCACGTGTCTGGGGAAGCATGTTGGTCGCGGGAATTAAATGTTGGTTGCCAGTGCCGCGGCGTTGGGAATGCGGTTCCTTGGCTCGGTTGGTCCTCTCCAGCCAACTGCCCACACAGCTAGGGCGGGTAATATTTCAGCCCAAAAGAAGACGTTTTCGTTTCATCCGATTGTTTTCAGCCCAAGTTGAATGCATCCTGGTATCTTGGCGGTCGCGATTCCCAGTCAATTGGAGTGATTTGCCTGTCGCGTGACGGACCAAACCAACAACTCTGTGGCGGTGACATTGCTGTTGACACCTGCGTGGCGTTTCCAGCTCTCATAATTTACATGTGAACCAATGAGCTATGCTTCTTCTTCGTGTCGTCGAGTAGTTTCCGGATCTAGCTTTTTGTATTGAGTCTCGGGACTGTTAGTGTCATCAGCACTTCGGTGTGCCAAGCGTCTGCTGGACACGGCCAACGGGAGCGGGCAGGTGCGAGTAGCAGAGGAGGATAGCAGCATGTCCAGTTGAAGCAGAGCTACTCTGCTGTGCTCCCGTCTGGACTTTGCATTCGTGTGCAGCAAAAGAGCTTGCGGGAGTCTCACGGGAGAGACAGGATACTGTTGAAATGAGCTACATGACAAGCAATGAATTATCCATGACATTGTGCAGTACTGACTGTGGCCCCGTGCAGCCCGTATCTCAGAAGCTCCGCCTCTCTGTGACGTTGACGCCCAAATGGACTGCGACGTAAAGCAGCAGAAGCTTCGTCAGAGGTATCCCAGGGTTCTATGTACCGTATAGGAAGGGCCCAAAGGCCATAGACCATCATATCCCATGTGGCCAAGAGTGCAGTTTTCAACGTTCCATATCTTGGCATGACTCCCTACAAGAAAGTACAATTGCTGAACAGTGATAGGTGTTCGTTTCCTGGTGTTCATCTCCAACATAGCCCTGCCCTCCGACCGCCGATCCATCTACTGGTCGTCGTTGATGTCAACCGCCGTCTTTGTCCACTTACGTGCCGGAAAATTGTGCGGCGGCTGAGATACGGAGTGAGAATCCAGGAGAGCATGACCATGACGGTTTGCAAGGCCGAGGTGATAAGACCCATGGCAAAAGCGGTATCGGTGCTCATGCCAGCTTCTAAGAGCCATGTTAGAGCCAAAAGGTATTATTACACTGGCGGACTGAGGTTTGACTTGCGTTCGAAGACATAGACAGCTTGGTTCGCGATAAGATTACCAGTCAGGTTCTGCGCCGCATACACACAGCAGACAATTAGAGTACGGTAACAATCAGTACCCTTGAACAGCTCGAGGTGGTTGGGCTCCTTTTCGGTCTTCTCGAGCTCGATAGTACGACGCATCATCGCCACCAACTCCTTCAGGTTGACGGCCACAGACTTACATTCCAGGCGCTGAACAGAACGCTCAGCATCTTCGAGACTGCCCCTGCGGACGAGCCACGAAGGTGATTTGGGGGCAATCCAGATGAGAATGGCGAGAGGCGTAGGGAACGTCCACTGCAGCGCGATAAGGACCCTGCGGTACTTTTCCATTAGCAACCACGATCTGACCTTTTATACTTGGACGAGGCAGCAAAAATGTACCTGAAGGCTGTCTCGCTATCAAGCGTGTTGTAGCGATACGTGACAGCACCGACGATAATGGCACCGATAGCCCAGAACATCTGCAACATCTGCGTAGTCGGGGCCCTCAACCTCATAGGCACGATCTCACTGCAATAGGCGGGGGCATAGGCGATAAAAAATACCCCACGGTATGCCCTCGAGCAGCTGAGAGGCCAGAATAACGGGCAGCGAGTTTGCGAAATAGAAGACGAAGATGAAGGCGTTGAGGGCCATAAGCCCAGAAATAGTCGCCCAGCGGTATCCAATACGGCTCGTCAGGGGGCCGGCAAAGCACACACCGATGATAGCACCAAGGGGGCCGCCAACCTGAAGGGCCGCCAACCTGAAGGGCAGACTGCCACTTTGTTTCGATGATCATCTTACCGGTCGCTTCGTTCAGGACGCCGAATTGAGCGGCGAAGGCAGGCAGCGCGATGAAGTTGCCCATCAGGAAGACGCAGTAAGACTCCATGATCTGAAAGACACCGTGTCAATTGGATTTATTCTTGTAACCCTGCGCCAATAGAAGACCAGAGCCACGTACGATCGTGCAAGACATGGCGAAGGCCCACAGAGAAGCCATGGTGTAAGCCTTCGCAGCTTCGAGCACGCCCATTTTGTATTCCGTGTTCTCTGCCTCGATGGCGTCAGCCCTGTAGTCGGCGGCTCGAGCCTTTTCGTCGATGTCGTAGGCATGCTCGACGGTAGCTTTGTGTCCCTCCACTTCGGGATCGCCGCTAGGCGGCTTGGAACCCACAGGGTTGCTCATGTTTTTTTATCACGTTTGTCTGGAGTGAACAGATCATGGAGACATGGAGTAAAAGGGAACAGGTTCATCCGGGAGTGTTCGTAGTGATGCCTTTGGTAAGGTTGAATCTGCTCCTTATCTCCGGACTTATGCCTTGAACCAGATCGCAGTTGATGTGGGCCAAAGACGGACCAAGGGCAAACATGGTGAGGGGCCGTCCTATTGTTGTTCTGATGAACCCTTAGTCAGGCTCCGACGACGTCCATCAACCTGCTTGAAGTGCCGTCACTCACTCATCAGTTCGCGTCTCCACCACGATAGCGTTGTAGTAGAGTCTATGCCTCCGCAGTGTGTATAGACGCACCTATGACATGCCAAGGTCGCATGGCGGTAGTCTGCAAGGAGGACCTATCATGCTCTGCACCCGAAAACTTAGCAAGGCATCGCCGGCATAGCGTGCGTGGCATCCTATCCAGCCGGCAACAATCCCCGCAAGGGGGTACGGATCAAGGCACCACCACGGCGCCACTCCGGGATTCGGCCGCGCCAGGTGATAGCGGCTCATAGGGCATGATTTGATTCAGTATCACCAGTCGCATCTAAGAACTTTGACCGGCCCCAACTTTCCCGACTTCCCCGGCATTCTCCAGCCCGTCTCCGCGTCTTTGTTTGCGCTATTTTCGCCGCATCAATGTCCCGAATAAGATGATCGCATCGGCTCAAGACTGCCGGTCGGAGGACTGATGTCACGTCTCTGAAAAGAGCTCTTGGGGTTAACGTGGTATACGCAGCGGTAAGGGCAGGACTGGGCAGGGGGGCGAGAGATTGGTAGATGCGACACAGACGTGTGCTGTCAAGTCCACTGCATATACCAGCGAGCACTCGGTTCATCGTCGCTCGCATGCTGGTTCTCGTTGGTCCGGATTCAAATACATCTTGTCTGCAGTTTGTGTCCTCTGAAGTCCGGCAATCATACCTTGCCAAGGCATGCCAAGAAAATAGGATCGCCCGTCCTGCATCGTTCCCTTGAGCCGCCACCTGACATTTACGAGCCGCAACGACACTTGCAACGGAACGCCCCGGACGCGATGCCCGGATCAAGGCTGCCACCGAGGAGTTGATGACGACGACCTAAGCTGGCTGCCAGCGCCATGTGCATATGATGGCAGCGATCTGCGCATCGGCTCGTCTTGATCGAGCCTTTGCCCCGCGGCTGTGGGGAACGGCGCTACTCATATTTCCAGAGCCTGTAGTTCACCCAATTCCGTGTGGCAGAAGGACTCGGTTGGCGGCCCTCGGCTCTCATGTTCAGTCTCCGCACCGTCGCTCTTCCTGTCATTTCATCCTTGCATGCTGGCGCTTTTCCACAGTTTCTGGCTGGTTTGGTGCTAGGAGACCTGAACGGGTCGTAATTGTGTCTACTGGTGCCTTTGGCGGCTCAGTGGGTTCAATCGAAGTGTCGTCTGCTGTAATATCCGACGGGCCAAACGTCCGGTGCGAAGAGAATGTGTGCAGCCATTACCAGCTAATAAGCAAGTACGCAAGTCAGATGCCAAGTTTTCGTAAGCCTTGAGATCTACTGGCATGGATTCCCAAATCTCGGTACGTGTCCGACGCCGTGCTGTTTTCCCTATATAACCACTCCTAGGGTTCAGGACTTCCACATACGACCATACCTATTGGGAACCTCGGGATCCCGTCCGCTCTCCCCTAGATAAACCAATAAGGGCCAGACCAGTAGTCGGGTGGGTGACCACCGGCGAATCCCTGGTGTTGTATGTTTTTGTGAATCTTTTTGCTACGTCCGAGTCTGGAGTGAGGTGGGCGACGCGCCTGTAGAAGCGAGCCGAACAAACACTGAGGAACGGATCTTACAACCCCTGAGGATTGAGCTAGCACTTATTCTGAGACTTGGCGGGGGCCACGCTACCAGGTACACATGCACGTGTGCCGAGAGACCGAGATGTAGGCTGGAAATAAAATAACATGGTTGCGGCGCTTGCGCTGGAGCAGTCGCTCCCACAGATGCCAGGAACAGTGACCACATCTCGTGAGCGGCCAGTCCCGAAGCAACAATCTATCATATTTTGTTCAAGCGTAGTCCGACTTGCACATGTCTCGCAAAGAAGAAGACGACCGCAGACGCGAGCATGGCGAGGCCGCAGAACAGCTGCAGACCCAGATACCTGCCTCCCTGGGACTCGACGATGGCGCTGGCGATGGGACTCCCCGTCAGGGCGCCGAAAGACTGGACAGCAAACGCAGTGCCGGTGCGTATGCCAATCTGCCGTATATCCGAGATTTGCGCGACGAGCGTCGGCGCGAGTGAGGTGAAGCTGCCGGAGGAGAAGCCGAAGAGGATTGTGAAGACAATGATGGCTGTATTTGTCTTGCTGGGGATCCAGATGGAGAGGGTAAAGACGGCGGCGAGGGTGACGATGCAAATCATGACGTTGTAACGGCCGAACTTGTCGGCGAGGATACCGGGGATGATGCGCCCAACGATGCTGGCCAATGTTATCCCCTGAGGCTCCAATTCAGGAGGTTTATCGACTTGAAAACAAAGGGGGGAAAACTTACCTCACAGCGTGCATGATAGGGATGAGGTAAATAACCAACCCAGGACTCATGCCCTGTGCCTTGGCCTGCAGGATGATAAAGTTGAACGGCAAAAACATGCCCCAGAAGAAGAGAAACATGCCAAACACGGTGAAAGCCATGGCCGGCTCTCTCAATCCCTGCACATACTCCCTCAAAACAAGCGGCCTCGGTTCAGGCTGTAAGCGCGACCGCACGGTGTAGCACGAAACGCCCATGAGGCCGAGGAATAGAAAGGCCACGGCGCGAATGGTCCAGGGGAAGCCGACACGGTCAATCATGCGTGAGATCATGATAGGCAGGACGACGCCGCCGACGGAGGAGCCGGACATCATGATGCCAAAGGCCGTGGCGCGCTTCTTGCGGAACCAGGACAGGGTCGCGGACATGCTGGCGCTGGCGGCAGCGCTCGAGCCAATGGGGGCCACGATGCTCATGGCAAGAAAGAAATGCCAGAACTCGGTCGACAGCGAGACCATCATCATGCCGAAGACGTAGGTCAGGGTGCCGCCGACGACGATCCACTTGGGGCCGAAGCGGTCGTAGACGCGGCCGAACTGCGCTGTGAGCCAAGACCAAGGCCAGGGTCTGGAGGTGACGAAGATGCGATGATGCGACTTACAATGACGGGCATAAAGTTGAGCGTCCACAGAAAAACACCAGTCACCCACGAAATGGTCGATGACGGATACTCTTTGAGGGCATCGTCGACATAGTAGGCCTGGAACACGCCGACGCTGTTGCCGAGCCCAAAGGTGCAGAAGAGGGTACACCATGCTCCGAAGACGGCCGTCCACGCTGCGGCGCCACCCTCGTCAAAATCATCCGGGTCGACGTACGGAGCTTCGGACGGCGGCACTGCTTCGCCGGGGGCTATGGCTACGGGAACAGCGCCCTTTTCGTTGTGCGGCGGTGATGCATCGTGGGGCTCGGGATACACGTCTGGGGGCAGATCTTGGTGCCTCGACTGTTGTGCATTCGGCCGAGAGACATTGGCATGTCCGGCTTCAGGACCTCTGAGTCGTGATGGTGATGATCCCTGCATTGTGAGGGGGGAGGGACGATTGGTCTGGATCGCTGTCACAAAGGCTAGCTGGGAATATGCCTGCCTGTCGATCGATCAATCAATCAATAAAGTTTGAGTTGGCAGTTGACGTTTGTCTCACCCATGAGCGCCGACGCAACATTCCCACGCGACAAGGTGATTTCGTCGTCTGTTATATTCCGATGGCCAACAGGCTGTGTGATTCGTGGGGAATACACCCTCCTGTCTTGGAGGGATCAGCATCCCACTGCCAACACTCATTACCTAACTCGGGGTCCATTAGTCCGTGTCGCCGCTAGACGTTGTCCGATGAGGCCGTATCCGAATGTATAAGAGGGAGTTTTCGGCCGGGGTTAAGCCTCAAGCTGACTCTTGTCATTACTTGTATACAACCTCAACTGGTGTTCGGCAGACTGAAGCCATCAGACATCTCCCTTTCGTTGCTGGCTTTGTTCTTTGAACGACAGTCGCTGTGGATGTGGCGCCCAAGGCGGACATGCATGCAAGCCAAGCCTCGACAATCGATCTCCGTCGAATCGTAGTCACTCACACCAACGCGTGGGGGGCATTGGCCAGCACAGAATCACGCAAGAGCGCAAGAGTGAAAGCTGTGCTCAAAGGAAAAGAAAGCAATTGGTATTCGAAATGTCTAAACCGCCCTGTTCGCTCGTGACTTGTTCTCCCGGTGCCTCTTCTCCTTGGCCGCGGTCTTCTTCCTCTTCATCCACGACTTGTTGAGGTCGCCCCTGTTTTCCCAGAACCACTTTTGAAAGTCGCCCGAGGGTCCAGCAGCGGCAGCAGCAGCTTCCTCCTCGTTATCTTCGTCGCCGTTGGCCACGGCCGTGTCATCGGCCTCGTCCTCGTCCATTTCGTCGCCTGCCCAGAAGTTCTTGATCCTCGAGGGGTGGGCCGTATCAGGCGTCGGCGCAGCACTCCTAATGTTGCGCCATTCAAAGTCCTCTTGCGTGTAGGGTGTCATGGGGATCTGCAGGCTAGGAACTGCGTTGTCCTCCTCAATATCGTCGTCGTCACCTCCACCGCCGAAGAAACTGAAAGGCTGAGACTCCTTGGCCGGAGTCGTCGTCGCATCTTCACCCGCCCGCGCGCGCTTGTAAAGAGCCTCGAGAGGGTGCACCTTGGCCGGGGTTGCGGGCGGTATCTTGATTGTGAGACTATTGCTCGAGCTGGATGACTTGGGGCGCGATCCATCGCCCTTGAGTGCCGATGCTGGGCTGTCGGCGGCCTCCTCGGTAGATTCGTCAGCTGCTGCAGGGGCGTCCGGTACTTCCTCGTCAGTGGAAGAGCCGCTGCTGCTCGTGTCATCATCGCCGGCAGCCGCAGTTGTGACCTTGACACTGGGAGGGGTGGATTTCGCCTTAGTTTTCCCCTCCTCCTCTGATGCATCGTCGTCATCGGAGGAACTGCCGCTGCTGCTCGTAGCATCATCATCGACCGGTGCCGGCGTAGTAGCCTCGGTGGGAGTCGCAGCCTTCTCGGGTTTTGCGGCAGGGGCCTCTGCTTCCGAATCGTCGTCGTCCTCAGAAGAGCTGCCACTGCTGCTCGTCGTGTCATCCTCGACGACTGGCGGTGCTATCGTCTTCTTCTTCTTGCGAGATTCAGACTTGGGCTCAGCTGGCTTGCGGACCTTGACAGCTTCCACGACATTGCCCTCCTCGTCCACCCAGCCCTTGCCTTCGACGTACTCGGCATTGGAGGGCGCTGCATCCGAGGGTTTGCTCGACTTGAGGAAGCTGGGATACTTGGTCGTGTTTGAGAACTCGTGAATGACCGTCTCGCGTGACTTGCCCTTCTTGCGCTTCTCGACGGGGGCATTGGCCGGCAGCTTCGTCTTGAGCAGGCACTCCTCCTTGTCGGTGTACTTTGACCGTTCCTCGCGATTCTTCTTCTTCTCCTTCTTCTCCTTGCTCCTCTCTTTGTCTTTTCGGTCCTTCTTGTTGCGCTTCTCCTTGATCTTGTCCTCATCCGTGACAGTCCAGCCTCGCTTGACCTTGCGATCCTCAAGCTCAACGCCGGGAATGACGTTGTAATCGCGCTTGCGCTTCTTGGTGCCTTCGGGGTCGTCGCTCGACTTCTTCTTGCGCTTCTTGCCCGTCTCCTCCTCTTTCGCCGACTCGGCCGCGGGCTCAGGTCTCGCCTTTTCGACGCGCATCTTGGACCCCTTGAGCACAGCACCGTTCAGCTTCTTCTTGATCTTCTCGGCGTCCATGGCGGGCAGCTCGACAAAGCCGTAGCGCTTCTCGGGGAAGGTTTGCAGGGTGTGAAAGGAGATGCCTCGTGCCTTGGGCAGGGCGCTTGCGGGAACGACGACTTTGAGGAGATCGGCGTCGAGTGGTGTGATGTGCAGCCTGGTGTAGGCGTCGGGGTCGGTAGCCGTGGGTGCCTGGACTCGAGATGCGGGGGCTGCAGGCGAGGTAGACTCGGGCATCGTGGTCGGGGAGTTGTCACCTCACAGTTAAGCGCGCTGTGGACAACTGGAGGGGGGACAAGGCCGGCAGGTCGGGTGATGAGGATGTTCAAAGGCAGAGCTCGAAAGGCTCTGTGCACAAGAATTTCATTGGCTGTGGAGGCAGGAGCTGGTGCGATAAGATAAGGTTTGCTAAGTCAGCAACCACATCACTCTCACGACTCCTGGATTCCCAGGGTCGCCAGATCTACAGGAGACGAAGGCACAATTGTCTAATGGCTGGCTAACTCTTGACGGTATGAAGATATATGCACCTGGATTAACTGTATTGGTATCTTAGTATTGACTCTGCGGTAGCTGTGCCACCTGATTTGGGTGCACTGCACCTTCAGAAGGAGTGACGAGCTTCCTTCCTGTGTCCCGCACCAGTAGTGCCTGCCCGCAAAGGAACAAGCCAGTTTCAGCGCCAATGTCTCAAGGCCACGCGGACCTACATTTGCACATTCCAAACTTGGACATATCATCTCTGCAAAATCCTTTACCTGCATCGACCATTATCGTATCCTCATACGGCATCATCTACCGTTTGGAGCCCGTTGGCTTATATTCGGTTGTTGACATGTCCGACGTCGGCACCGAGGAAGAACGCTTCTATACCGCAAACAATACCCGCAACGAGAGCTTCGCTTCCGAGTTCCTCAGTCCTTATGATACGATCGAAACCTCCGAGGATGTTCTCTTCACGGGTCGCCCTTCTCTGAACACCGCCATTCAGTCATCTCAAAACGAAGCATTAGGTCGCCACTGGCTCGACAAGCAACGGAGAACGTTCAACCTGACTCCTCGGCCGAGGAACACTATTTTATGCAGCCTCGTCTGCAATGGCCAACCTGAGGACTGCGTCTAGCAGGCCCAGCCCGAGACTCAGTATCACCGACCCCAAAGATGCATGAGCGTCGATGAGACAGGTGTGCAGATACACCAGCGTTGCCTCCCGCCTGCCGTCCGTGCAGCAGCGAGCCGAGGATCACTCCTTGGAGCTTTTGGTCAGGGTATGATGCGTTTGACATTAAAGTCCGCCTGGAAGCTTACGCGATACCATAACCAGGTGATGCCTGTCTAGCCTCGACCAAAGCTGCCCCAAGCTCGACCGTCAGCGTCATCAGTACCCTAGGACAGAATCTGGGATGGTTATCGAGCGATTCTTTAACGGAAAGCCTCCTACCTCCCGCTCTGAATATTCAAGATTCGCAATTCTCCCAGAGTACCGGCGTCCAGGCCCGCAAAGTGGCGCTCACTAGCCCTGGGGACAACATTGACCGTATCAACCCACCTTTCATCCATGATGCCGTCCACGGAGCCCGGGAGCACCAGTTCAATCAACAATACGTCGAAAGTGCAGTGGCTGGAACAATTAATGAACCTGTTCTTCCGGAAGAGCTCAATCGCTTCTTGAACGACAGTTTTATCGAGGATATTACTGGACTGCCCTGCCATGAGCCGTGCTCATCCCAACACGAGCCGCTTGCTCGGATGACGGTGCACCCTACCGATACAGCCTTGTCAAATCAGCAGCGCAGGAAGCTCAGCTGTCGCGATGCATCAATTGAGATAAATCATGCCACTGTAGTCGATCCGGCCACGACCATCAGCTTACCGCAGACTGCTTTTTCGACCCGAAGTTCTGTCGATGGCCATCTCCACACCAAGGTTCGCACGCAGCTGCCGAACACGATCATACTTTCTCGGCAAAGTGTGACGGATATCCGCTGGCTAAATACACCGAACGCTTCGACCTTAACCCTCCGAGGTTCATTCGATAATCCGACTGAACTTCTTGTAGGCCATCCCGAAGGCGGGTCCACCGATGCTTCTTCTTCGACAATCAACCCACCCGAAGCTGTGTACAGACTAGGCGACGACAGGGTCAACATTTGCGACTACACAATCAGGCCCCCTACTGAGACGTTTGAAACTAATGACGGCCAAGAAAATGAACGGGAATCTTCCAAAACTTGCAGTCCAATTTCCTTCAAATCGTTTCCTGCGCTTGTAGTGCGGCAAAGCACGCAAGACTGGTTGAACCCGCCATCTAACATGCCCCTCGAAACGGAGAGTACAAGCAGTCTTTACCACCTCGGAATTGACGCGCGAAGCGGCCACATCTTGCCAATACCCTCTGTTTTGGTCGATGAACCCATCAAGCCACGGCATTGTAACCATAGAATGTTCCACGAAGACATATTTGAGTGTAGCGCTTCTATGCCCGGTAGCAGGCGGGCTACTGAAGTCGATATCTGCACAGTAACAGACGCAAGACCTGAGAGAATGGGAGCTGCCATTGGATCTTCGTCCCGTCGCAGGCGGGGAACCATTGATGGCACATCCATCCCATTGTCTGCTCTCCACAAGAATGAGTCAAGCGCGCCGCATCTCATGGACAGGATTCGAGAAGGAGGCAGGTCGATCACGCGAAGGTTGTCTGCTGTTTTCCAAGGAGTTGCGGTGTCGAAAGGCACAAGAGCACCCGCTCCGTCAGCCGACTCTGAGGGCCACTCAGTAGACGTGCAGACATCTCACGGTCTCGGTGGGCGCGGCTCAGGTGGCACTGAATATCTCGATCCTTTTGTGAGGAGGACTGTAGGTAACCCGGTGTTCACAACCCGTCGAAACATTTGCTCGGAGGATTGCCAGCCACATGCCTGTGAGGGGGACATGAGCCCGAAGATCCATCCTGCAAATGGTTGAGTGAGGGAAAAGATCCCAAGAATGTCGCCCAAAATGCCCGATGAACTACCTCACCTGAAACGGCCCAGATTGACCGGCCGGTAAGCAGCTTTAGACAGAACTCGCTTCCTCGACAATACTGAATCATCTCCTTACCATTTTTGAAGCCTCCTCGCCGGGTTATGTCAATGGTGATAAGCGGGTTCACCCTACCCCCCTCCACCCTACTCCCCTTTACCCCACCGCCAGGTCCAGGCCCGCGGCAGAGTTTGCTCCATCATCTACCTCTCAGTCGAGCGCCACCTTCATCGACAGTTTCGGTGGTGTAGTTGGTTTATCACGTCAGTCTAACATCTAATATCTTGTCAGGAGAGTTGGAGATCACTGAAGGTCGGGAGTTCGAGCCTCCCCTGAATCACTTTTGCCCCTTTGCAAGGCTTCTTTCGTATTGACACTTATGCTTCCTCTATTTGCCATTTGCTTGCTGCTTCTCCTAAACGCTGCCCAGACATGTGGACATGAGCTGTGTCTTGCAATCATTTTGAGATCCCAAACCCTCCTCAAATGCTCTTGTTTGCCGCGTGAGGTTTATCACCAACATCGTACGCTCTCCGCAAAATGACCGTTCCTTGCATTTATGAATGATGATTTCGACTAGAAAGCAACAAGTCCAGCCACCATGACGACAAGTAAGACAACGTGACAGTTGTACGTCGCCTGTGACGCTATGGACTTATCATCCTCCTCCTCCTCAATTGCCTCATCGAGCTTGTAGCCCGCGTTGAACAGCAGCTTTCCACCTTCCGCGCCGTTGACCGTTGTGCTATTCTCTCGAACGATTGAGCCCTCGAATGATAAACTGATCCTCAGAGTCACGTTCCACGGCCTCAATCCCTTACCTTCGTAGGCTGCAGATTGCATCGGGTTGAAATTGGATAGTTCAAAGGGCTCGCGCTCGTCAGGGTAGCATCCACCCTTCCGTTCTCCCATCCAAGGTATCGCCTTGTCGAGACTGTTGTTGAGCGTGAGGGTCATCTGGTCCGCGCCGATGCCGGCCATCTCCATGGTTGCGCCCTTGTCAAGCCAGAACGTTGGATTTGACGAGTACCAGATGCGCTCGCCATTCTCGTCAAAGCCGTCATCGTCTTGTCTCCTCCTCTTCGATCCGTCGGACCCCCGCACCGTGTCAATGTCCTCTTCATCTTCATAGTATCTCTGATTCATGCTGCACACGCTCTTCACCGTGACATACTGGCTTGGATGCTTCCCCGGCCGCGGGAAGGAGCCAATGTAGTCCTTGCTATCGATGATGGGTGGCGCCTGGACGTACTCTGCTCGCGCGGAAAAGGTGCCGTCATCCTCGGCCGTGATGTTCGTGGGCCAGTACACGCGCGTCGCCTCCTCGAGGTCCGTCGCGTCCGAGTCGTCGTACCGGTTCGTCCAGTAGGGCGAGAAGACCGTGTTGTACTCGCGCGTGTAGTTGGAGATGACAAAGTCGCTCGACCGAATGTACACCCAGCGCTGCTTGAAGTCGACGGCGTCCCGGAGGGCGTGGTACTCGTGGGCCGGCTGGAAGCCGCGCAGGACCCAGTGCATCGGGTTCGTGTCCGACTCGTTGCCCGTCGGGGCGACGAGCACGAGCGCCGGGTACCTGCTCGTCTTGGCGGCCCTGTCGTCGTTGTCGCAGACGTCGATTGGCTCCGACTCCTCGTCCCAGACCGTGTTGTGGGTGATGTGGTGGCGCACCGTGAGGGTGCCGTTGTAGTAGAGACCTGGCAGGCCGAAGGTTTCCAGGCGGGCAAAGTAGCCGCAGGGCGCTGAGTTGTCGGGGAGGGACGAGCCGTCATCGGTGCCGCTTCCGCTGCCGCTGCCGCTGCCACTGTCATCACCGTCGCTGTCGCCGCCTCCACCGCCGGATGAAGAGTCATCGTCGTCGTTGCTGCTTCCACCTCCGCCACCTCCGCCACCGCCGCCCTTTCTCTGAGCGGCAGCTGAGCCGGCGAGGAGACAAACTAGAAGCCTCAATGTCGATAAGCGATGCATGGTGGGCTGTGGAGTCCGAGGCACCGTCCGTCGGCGGGAGCAGGTTGCTCTCACAACGGGATGCCCACCCTTTAAGCTAGACAGGTTCTGCCTTGCGCCGCCATCGGCAGCATGAATGCAGCCCTAATTCTTCAGGATGGAGATCATAGGCCTTGTGAACCATGCACGGAGCATTATTCAGGCCGTATGACCCTGTGTAACAAGCTTCTTCAGACATTAGCCCATCCAGACACCCCCTGCAACGGCCGGGGTGGCTGTCTTACAGGTGTGCTAGCTCGCATCAAAATAGCGCCAACGAGGAGTTGCGGTGTCAAGCCCCATAACGATGCGGTGCACACTTTTGAATGCCATAGACGCTCGGATGCTCAATAAAATTCATCATCTCTGGGAGCTTAATGTGGCCAGTTCGTTCCCGGGCAGACAGCGCATACAGCAGAGTATCCATTGAAACGAAGCCAAGGAATCTTGAGCACGATGGAGTAAAAAGATCGTGTACCATTCGATTCGACTTCCATGGAAAGTGAAGATCTGCGTGGAGACGACAACTAGTGAGGTGCGTGAGATGACAAGGTGCAGTAGTCGGCGCCACATGCAGGGTCCGATTACACAACAGTGACCAGTGATGGGCTTTGAATGCTTGCCAATGGCCAGGAATACGATGGGAGCTGTCGGAGGCGGGGAATAGGCCCGTGAATAACCTTAATCTCAAATCACTGAAGCATTCAAGAGAATGATATAGGGCCTTGAAGCTGTGATGAGCAAACTACCTCAGGCGAGCGCAGCATTTAAATCATAGTTTCCTCGTATCCAGCTACCAAAGTCTATTTCGACAACAAGATCTCAAGATCATTCAAGAAGCCGAGTCTCTGGGGGGCCCAAGTAGGAATCTGGCACCCTGCCCTGCGTGCCAACCACAATCTTCTCGAGATAGACCTCGGGCGAGTTGGCCTGCCATCTCAGCGTGTGCTTTCCAGGCGCAAGGTTACCAAGCGCAACGGTCTTTTTCCACACGTGGTCCGCCACACCTGCCGTCCACTCTGGAGGCGTATCGCCCGCCTTGGCCGGCTGGCCCAGGACGCGCGTGAACTTTGCCGCCGCGTCATCAACGGACAGAGAGAACTCCATCGGCGTATTGGGGTCGGTGTCCAAAGCACCGTTAATGTACACTGTCGCGTTGACCTGGTTGCGCGTAGCCTGGCCGAGGATGTAGATGTCATATTCTAGCCAAGCTTTCTTTGCATCCTCTGGGGCCTTCTTGGCAGCCGCGTATGGGCGTAGTGCGACGGAGCCGGATTCGGATCGGGAGCCGAGGAGAGGTGCGTATTGGAAGCCAATCTCATCGCCGCTGGCCTCGCCTGATGACCTCTGGTGGTGAGGTCCTTCGATTGAGATGTAACCGTCAGTTTCAGGGAAGCCCTTGAAGTCTGTAGGAGCGTTCAAGTTGAGTATGGGCAGGTGAACAATGTCGAAGTAGGGCTCTGGCTCCCACGAAACGCGAATTTCGACCGTTTTATTGAGCCCCGACGGCACAGACGCCCAGTCGATGCTGACATGGATGCGTGCATCCGGTTCGTCGGCCGTGACTTGGCCCGACGTCTTGGAGAATCTGATCCACGACTCGGCCGCACCCACGGACCAAGGGATCGGCTTGCGCTGATCGCCACGGTGGAACAGCTCGATGAAGCGAGACTCGGGTCCATGAGGTTGCATGAGGCGCATCCTCGGCGAAAAGCCGTCTTTCGTAGGCAGTGAAGGGTTGATAGAGGCGCAGATGCGGCCCTGTGACAGCGCGCTTCGCGATTGCTCGACGTAGATGCCCAGGTTCCCGAAACCGTAGTCAAAGTCCTGGCGTAGCTGGACGAAGGACAAGTTGGAAAGGACGTCACGCGACGACGGACGCCAGTCGGCAACGTTCATATCGAACTTGGGCGTCGCCATGATGCCCTTCCATTTGCCGCCGGCGATGCGGTCGTATCTCTGGACGAGATCGTGGTCGTTCTCGAATTCGTCGATCAGCCTGTGAGCAACGGCGTTGGCCGAGTTTCGTCTTTCGAAGCCGTACTGCTGGTTCTTGCCCTGTCCCAGGACGATCGAAATGTAGTTATGCCCAGCTAACGCAGGATACAGAAGCGTGTGGTAGAGGGCGTCACGGCGATTGCGAGGCAGCCTGTCACTGATCGACTGAGCCAGCTCTGCGAGTGACTTCCAGGCTTTGACGATTTTGTCAGCTTCCTCGAAACTCAGCTGGGAGAATGTCGTGGGCTCGGTCGTCTCAAACTGCCGCATGCCGATCAGGTGGCTATAGGCCAACCAAGCTGACGCGACGTCCTTGGCCACTTCAGCGCCGAAGTCTCTCTCGGCCAGGGTCTCGAGATACTGTGGTAGGCTGTCCAGGTCAAAACGTGTTTTATTCCACGCGAGATCCATCGCCAAATTGATGGGAACCTCAAGAGGTTTGATATCTCCAACGTTAAGCACCCAGATGCGATCTGCTCCGCGCTCGGCAGCTTGGAACAGCTCTTTGTATACTTTGGGCTGCGATAATTATCAGTCGGTGGCGCGCTTTCCGAGGGATCTGGAGAGCCGTGATCTCTTACCAAGTTGTTGCAGTTTTGCCACTTCCAGCTCTTCGGTCGTCCAACGTAGGCAAAGTGGTAGTACAGCTATAGAGAGCCACATATAAATCAGCGTTCTGGGAGTTTTCAGGCATCAGGGAAGGGGGAAGGGGCAAATGTATTTACGCCAATGCCTCCCGATCTTTTCCGCTCCTCTTCAGTTGGCAAGCGCTGCACATTACCCCAGTTGTCGTCGGTAAACATGAGCGTCACATCGTCTGGGGGCGTCAGGCCTGCGGCGTAGTAGGTCGCAACCTCCTTGTAAATAGTCCAGACCTCTGTATGCACGTATCAGCCCAAGCTGCACTCTGTACAGTCAAAGGCTCCAACTTACGTCGTGCGGCCGTCACGTTGCCGTAGTGCTTAGCCAGCAGTCCGCGCTGTGTCTCGAAGACATCTTCGAGGACAGCGATGGGATCAGCGGCGTTGATCGGTCCGTCATTCTCGCCGCGCATGCCCAGCGTGAAGTACGTCTCGTTCTGGCCTGCGCGCCGAATGCCCTCGTCCATGAACTTGACGACATTGTCCTTGTTCTCAACCCAATTCCACTTGCCTGCCGGGTTGAGCGTCCACTCGTTCGATGCCCGCTGCATGGGCTCGTGGTGGCTCGTCGACACGACGATGCCGTAGTCGCTCGCCAGCTGCTGGCTCCGGCTGTCGTCGGTGAAGAAGATGCGACCCGGCTTGGGGACGAAGCTCGCCCACATGGCGGGCCAGATGAAGTTTGCCTTGAGGCGGAGGAGCAGGTCGTAGACGCGCTCGTAGAATTCGGCGTCGAAGGTGTAGTCTGTTCTGTTTGCGTGGTTCGCCCACCAGCCGGTCAGAGCAGGGGCTTCGTCGTTGATGAAGATGCCGCGGAACTTGACGCTCGGCTCGCCGAGGGTCAATGTCTTGTCGAGGGCGTAGATCCTCCTGTGCTTGGTTACGGGGACGTCCGCCCACCAGTGCAGGCTGCCATCGCGGCTTGTTAGCGATACTTGATACAGAAACCGTCCATAGTAGAAGGCCATGACGTGGGACTTGGAGAATTTGACTCACGGAGACTTTCCACTCTGTTCCGACAATGTGTAGACGCCAAACATGGCGCCACGCATGTCGCTGCCAGCGATGACGAGCGCATGCTGAACGCCAGGCAGAGGATCCTTGACCAGGGTGGTGTGGAAAGACTCCCACTTGCCACGAAGACCTTCAACATCAACTTTGTTCGCGCGCTCGAGGGCCTGCAGGAGCGGGGAGTCGACGGTCGCGGCAATAATGACAGCTTGAGGAGAAGTACGAGAGCCAGAGTCGCTGGTCTGGTTGGCGCCTCGCCATGCTTTGACAGGTGGCTTGCGGCCCGTGATTTGCTCCAGGTCCTCGGCCAGGCTATTTACGGCAATCTTGATACCGACCGGATCATTATCATCGTAAAGGATGGTGGCGCTGTGGATTTCAACGGCCCCGGCGGATGGCTCGAATCCCACGAGCTTTTCTTGGATGCTCGCAGCGACAAGAAACGGCAAATTGAGGAACTGCAGTAAGATCGCAGCCAGCAGGATCACAGCCCTTGACGATTGAGCCATGACAGTCGCGATGTAACGATTCTGGCGAAACCCGCTGTGCTACATGTGCCGTGTTGTCTTGAAATATTTGTGCCTGGACCCCAACATCCTTATGTGCCCCAGTTCCCTGCCCCAATTGCCCTTTGCAAGAATCGCAGCTTTGCAAGACGATGAAACCCTCTCATGCATGCTGCCGATCATCATCATGCCGGCCTCCATCAAGCGGGCAGATGTCGACATTGTGTCCAGAGCATAGGAAGCTACAGCGTCGCAACAGTGGGCTCGGCCTGCTTTGACCCGCAGACGAGGTACGATTCGCCTGCCCAAAAAGGACGTCATGTCGTGGGCGAGGGTCTGGTGCGGAGGGTGAGAGCAACATGAAGGTTGGTGTGTACCCCCGCAGTGAATGGAAGATGCGGAGGCGGAAAGGCGTCTTCGTACTTGGGAGGGTTCTTGCCAGACCAAGATTGGTGGACCAAACCGGGGGAAACGTCCGATCTCAGCCTGCCGCGATGAGATGAGCCGACAGGTTTGCGCTACTGCGTTGTCACTTTGCCATCTCATTTCGGGCTTCACTTCTATTCGCAGGCTGCAGTGCAGGTTCGTTGTAGTGGGTCAGTCACCCGGGGAAGCATCTTGCGGGGATGTCGATCAGGGTTGTGGAGGAGGCCTTTGGGATGCTCGCCCCTTGGACCAGCGGCATGTTTGGACCGAGGCCAGATTCTATGTGTAGCATCACGGGCCCCAACGTCGACCTTGTGCTGCAAGACCAAGGCTCACGGGCGTGGTATGTATGGCAGTTACATGAATGGTACTCCAACTTGGTTTACACAAAATGAACATGATCCAGGCAGCATACTGATGAGTGTGTCGTCAAAGAGTGACCTCAAGTCTTCTTCAAGTCCTTCCCTTCATCCGTTCTGTCATCCTTCCTTTCGTCCCCTCTTCATCCTTTCCTCCATGTATACCCCCTTCATCTCCTCTCTTCACCCTCAGTTCCAGATGGAGGGCAGACCCAACGCTAATAACCAGCACAAATCTAGTTGGCTGAAGCCGACCGTTCGGAGCCCTCGGAAGCCACAAGGCGGGGTGGCCGAGTTCCTGGGGGTGGGAGGACGGCAGGGATGGCGATGGCAGCTGCGGGGAATGGGGTCAGGGGCCGAGGACCAGACCGAATGCGGACCTCGACGCGGGGGCCGAGACGGGCAGCGACAGGGATGGTCAGCTCGGTGGACGAGGAAAGGACACTCGGAGAAGGACCTCCACGGACGCCGCCAGCCAAGTTGTCGAGCTCGACGCCCACGTCGCAGCGAGCAATGGGGGCGCTGGCGAAGAAGATGCCGGCCACGACCACAAAGGTGAACGCCAGGACGACCGGAGCAATCATTATGGTGGGCCGGTATTTGTCGGGGTCTGCGTAGTGAACTGCCATGACCACGACTGCCGAGACGCCGAGGCTGATCAGAACCACGACTGTCACTACAATGCGGATGACTCTGGGGTTGCGGTCCCTGAGACAGCTGTTGACAATGTCTAGAAAGCGCTGACAGAGCTCTGGTCTGTTGCGGCCACCTTGGCTGTTCAAGATGGGGAGAGAATCTTCTGGGTCCTCGGTGGGGTGGCTCGCATGAGGCGTATTGAAGAAGCTCCTGCGTATGTTCACCAGCTCTGGAGTTGAAATGCGCCGAGCCAAGTTGCCAAGAAGGCGGTCTTCGACTGTCTGGGCCGGGGCGGTGTCTCTCAGAGCCATGAGCAAAGTCTCAATGGCGGCAGCATTGTGCGAGGCTTCTTGATCACCTTGAGCATCATTCTCTTCGTTTGCATCGCGGGCCGGGAGAGAATCAGAAGCCAAGCTCTGGTCATGTTGATAGTCTTTGTCGGCAGCAGGGTGATGGGCTGAAGGAAGGCGCGGTTAGATGCTTTCAGGCCACAAATGAACCAACGACAAGGGGGAGCTCACCAAGAAGTGCTAAATCGCGGGCAGGAATAGTGAGAGAATCGATTCGAGCAAACTTCTTTTTCTCCCGCTCATGGAAATCGTCGCTGTCTCTTTCATTCTCACTCTTGCTTGCATGCTGGCTCATGCTGTCAAGGGTCCCACCGCGGGACGTAGTCGAGCCACGAGGCGTGGCATTCTGCAGAGGCCAACGAGCCCGCGAGCTTGGCATTTTGGCAGCATGATCCAAGAGGGCATACTGCGAGAGATGGGATCCCTGCACCGAGCCTTGCACATGAAAGTACTGGCCTTGTTCGGAAGAGGTCGTGAACGATGCTGCAGCATTGCAAGGGAAAGTGCCCTGGCCATCATGAGATGTGCTGCCTCTGATCGGACCACTATCATGAGTGACGCCATGGATAGCTAGATCATGATGTCCGCTGCGTTCATGATGGTCGCTGCGTTCATATTGGCCGCTGCGTTCATGATGGTCGCGGCGTTCATGATGGTCGCGGCGTTCATGATGGTCGCCGCGTTCATGTTCATTGGCGGGTTGAGAAGCTCTGACTTCGGTTCCATCATCACTGCCCGATTGGGAATCCTTCAGCTGACGAGGGGGGCTGGAAAGCTCCGCGATACACTGTCGACAGTGGCAACCTTTGGCATGCGAAAGACACTCCATGGTTACTTTTGATGCTGCTATCGGTTCTCTTTGTGGCTCTAAGCAATACCTGACAGCGCTGGAATGTCAGTCAGGTCGATTCAGCCGCGTATATCAAGCCCGTAAGCTCTTATCCGCTACCTACGCAAGTTCAACAGCTCGCAGATTAGGGTCCTCAACTCGATGAACTACGTGATACAGGAATAGGTTAGTGATCATTCATTTCAGGCTCTTCAATCCAAAAGCACATTCAAGCCTTATGCGGGCATGAGGCATGAGTGGCATGGAGCTATTACGCAAGCTCGGAAAGCGGAGAAGTCGCACATACCTAGCAGAGCTATAGCTTGTCGAATGGTCGCTTAGAATCGAGAAAGGTTCATTATGACCGCATGCGAGCGCTTTGGATATCAACTGAATCTTCGTGATGATTGCGCGGGGACCCGGCGTCGAGAGCCTTCAGTTTGGTGATGCGTAACTGCTGTGCTTAGTCGCTTTGCGGGTAGGGAGTAGTAGGAGGGGACAGAAAAGCAAGACCTGGCGTGCGGGCTTGTTGATGCCTTTTCGTGCGTGTTATTTTGGCAGGCAAGAACGCGTTCTTGCCCAGGCCATAGCCCTCTGATTCATAAGTGCTTTGTGTCCTGAGAGCAGGGTGCAGGACATAAACAACAACATCATCCTGTTGGTATTCCTGAAATCACAGCTTTCCGCGAAAGGCTCAGTTTATCCTGATGAAAGGCCTATTAGAGCGCATGATGGTTGCATCTGAAGTAGGCTTTTTTTAAATAACGTGCATGATAAGCAAGTGGGCCAAACAAGCAAGTGGGCCACCTGACCACGACCATGCGACGACAGCAGCATCCCGGTGAACCCTAACGCCTTAAATCAATTGAAACTACTTGAAATCCTCTTCTTCAGAAGCCCTCGTCTCCAGCTGACAAGTCCGCGCATTATGTCCAGGCTCGCCGCAGACACCGCAGCGCCGTTTCTTCGTCCCGTCCCTTGGTTGGCGACTGCTTCTCTGACGCGTTTCCTCATTTATCTGGACCTGAACCTCGATATTGGTTTGTATCTCCTGTCCCTCACCTAGAGTTAGACTCCCTCCTTGCCTGAGACGTGTTTTCTTAGCTCTCCGACGCTTGCTGAGTGTCGCGTTCTCGTCTCGAAGGATCTGGTTCTCCGACTTCAATAGGGCGAGTTGATGCATGATTCCACGCGTCCCCTTGGTAAAGTGGTCTATAGCGTTAAGAATCGACGTCGGAGAGCTTCCTTGGTGTCGGGCGATTCGACCTTTAATAAACTCTGACTGACAGCTAGCTTCAATCGGGTTGTGAGGCGTTTGGGAGACCCAAGGTTCTGATGTATCGGGGACCCCCTCGACGGGCGTCGGTGTCCGTAGCTTCACATCCAGCTTTGAAACCACAATTTCGGGGCTCATTGGGACAAGCCCAGCACCTCTGAACCCCCCCTTGATATTCCTTTCCGTCATAGCTTCTTTGAAAGCTGCGAAAAACGCGGGAAAGAAGTCCTCCTTCGTGATGTGGCTTGTACCTGCCCTCATCTTCTTCTCAATTTGCCGACCGTAGGCCTGCTTTAGCGGGCCAAAACAGCCAACATCAAGAGGTTGAAGTAGGTGAGATGAATGGGGAGGCATGCATAGCGTAATGATGTTGTTTTCCTTGCAGTAGAGCTCGAACTCAACGGAATGGTGACTTTGGTGCCCATCTAGGATAAGGAGGCGATATCCGGCCGACCGACGGGGCTTGGTATGCTTGTCAAAATGCTGAATCCATTCTAGACCTTTCTCATTTGTTGTCCAGCCTTTGTCTGTCGTAGCGATTACCCAGTCGTGAGGTAGAGGGCTGTCTTCGTACCAGCTTGAGAGGTGATTTTTGCCCGCCATAATGATGAACGGCGGGACACACCACCCGTCTGCGCCAACGCCTTGGATCACTGTCACCCATTCCCGACCTCCTGGTTGGACCATTTTCGTATTAGAACGTCTTTCGGCGTTCGTAACGACCATTCCGGACCCGATAACGCCCATCATAAACCCAGTCTCATCGAAGTTATAGATATCAGGCTCCGCGATACCGTATTTGGCGATTGTGTTCTTTACGAGCGCGAACCAATCGCGAATTGCCTCGGGATCTTCGCATTGGGCTCTCTGATAGTCATATCTGCGAAAGAAACGCGTCTTAAGCTCTGGTTGTCGCCTGACGAAGTTTGAGGCCCAGCGCTTCCCGACACTCGGCGCGTCGCGGTCGGCTAGCAGTCGATTAGCCATATCTTCAACCTCACAAAGCCGGGGAGGAAATGCTCGGGAATTTAGCTCAAGTATGTATTGAACAATCGTTAACTCCTCGAGCTCCGTCAAATTTCGATTGAGGGGGATCCTGTCGCGTTGCGAAGTAATACCGCGTAGTCGACGCGTCAAGGTCATTCGGGGAACACCAAAGATATTTGTCGCAGCGCGTATACTGAGATCTGGGTCATTTTGAATAGCCTGAAGAGCAAGCTGTAATTGACGTTCTTGTGAGGGCGGAGACATCGTTGTTGGTGGAAGAATTAATGGTTAACGTAAGAAGGTCGCGTTTTCGTCGTCAGGTGGCCCACTTGCTTGTTTGGCCCACTTGCTTATCATGCACGTTAGTTGAATTCATTCTATAGTGAATAATGTTCCCATTTCTGTATGACAATAGCTCTTTAAGCCCAACAAGGCTTTCAGAGCTTGATCGACAGCCCACGCACGCGACCATGAGGGACATCCAACCGCCTTTCTAGATAAACAGCACAATGGGACCAGACAATCAATGTAAAGACCTCCTCCAGGGCCGGAACCGACCTCCAACATGCCAATCTTTGCATTGCCCCGATTCGCATCTGCCAGTATACTCGTAGTGGGTCTTCCCATAACCTGATCCCGGTTGAATGTGATCAGAAGTGCTCCGTGCCTTCTTGTATCCCCTCTCATGCTTGTGCCAGTCAGTGTTCTGTCTTCTTCCTTCCCCCGCAAGGATAAGGTAGTCTTGGTGAAAGTTCTCCGCTTGTCGAGTTTGTTGCTTCGCTTGCACGTGATCCATCTCATACACCCTGATATCTTTCTTGTAGAAGCTGTTAAGCCGATCAAACTCTTCGAACTCGCTGCCGCGGCCTTCGCGTCGCCGCCACTCTTCCAGTCCACCCACTCGCCGATCCCCCCTCCTTTCCAAGCTTCGCAGATATCGCTTCCACGCTCGCCACAAGTCTTCAAAATGCTCGACTGCCACCTCGAGGTTGTCTGCATGCTCCTTAGAGTTTTCCACTTTCTTCTGCCACTCGCACCTGCAAGAGCCGTGCGCATGTCTGTGTTTCTTGTCGTGCTTACGGGCGGTGTAGAGCGCCTTGTCGATTTCCAGCACGGCGTGGTCGAGAATGCGTCCGACTTCGAGCAACTCGTCTCGCGCCCGCCGAAACTCGACGCTTTCGATCGGACAGGTATATGGCTTCGAGCCGCCGGGTGCAGAGCGTATAGGGAAAATGTTGCCATCAAAGATAGGTAAGTCGCGCTAGGATGCGCCGCGTTCGTGCTCGCTGAAATGCACACTCCGTGGTACATGTTCCTGGATATGCATGTGGTAGATAACAGGTTTGCGGCACCTTCGGGGGCAATCGTAATGTCGAACAGTCCGGACGCAGCAACCGTGATGGCGGCAGCGGCTCTTGGATGGGATGTGGTGATTTGGCTTACAGACACACAGAATCGGAGCGGCGTATGGGTCAACTAGCAGGTTTCGCCCGTCACATATCACGGGCCGCGTGTCGCACTTTAGGGTGTGGGTGTAGACGCGGTAACACATTTTCGTCAGCGACGGTGTTGTGACCACGTTGTGGGTGCTTGGTCGAGATGGAAAAATATGCGAAATAAGCACTGTCACCGGCCGGAAGTAACAGACGGGCTGGGCTGATGTTCTTGGGACATTCTTTTGACTCAAACTTGCTTGATCTCGCCGTCTTTTTAGTCGGGTTTGGTGTCAGATGCCCCTGAACAGGGCTATTGTGTTGGCGGGCGTGGCTTTGACTCGAAAGTCAAATGCTGCCCAACAACACAAAGACACAGTCCAACATGCAAATCATCTTTGTATGGCGCCTTGCGAGTCGCTAACAAGACGTTGGCTAGCACAAGGACCTCAAAGGAAATGTCAGCAAACGCATTTTGGGTATGGCTCGTGCTGTCGCTTTCGTCCGTCGCTTTGTGCGCCGTCGACCAACTTTTCCTCAGTTAGAGTCGCGAGAGTGGCGAGGTGATTGGCGCATACTTCGAGAGGTCTGCTTATATTGTAAATTCCCAAGCCAGGAACCACCCTTCGTCCTCGAGAGGTCTTGCCAGTCGATCGCGGTAAGTGCAAGCTGCTTCGTGTGTCTCCATTCTGAATCGATGCCTGTCCCAGAGCATCCTACAATGTCTGCCGAGGAGAAAGTTGGTAGGTTCAGCCACTGACTTATATTGTAGGGGTAGCTAGCTTAACAACCCACGCAATCAGGTGCCATTGTCAGCCTCGAGTCTCCCGAGGAAGGAGGCGGCACTTGGAGTGTTAAGCAAGTCAAAACTGCCCACATCCTCCCTCCTGGAAGACAGTGAAAGCTGTATCGATCTCGACTGGGGCTATGGTCCGGTGAATGTACGTCGAGAGTGTGTTTTGCAAGATTCGTCTAACATATCCTAAGATCATTGGCTATGTCGACGCGTACACTTTGGAGACTGGAGTCATTATCAGCGTTCTCGGTATCAGCCTTGGTGACATTGTTGGAAACCTCAAAGATGGCGTTGTTTTGAACATCGAACTTTTCCTGGCTGTTGGCGCCATTAGGCTTTATCTGAAGAACGGGAACGAGATTTGGGTGGCGCTTAACATCAGGGTCAAGTTCAACGGATGGTACTACAGTCACTACAAGATTATCAGCTTCTAGAGTCCTACAGTGTCCCTGCATCACACCCAAGAAGGTTGTATCTGGGGCTAGGTTTTGACGCCGTTGATCTTTTAGATCAATGCTGTTGATTTTGATTTCAGTGTAGTGATCAAAGTTTTCATTTCCTCGCTTGCGGTTTCTTGAGCTGACATATTGTATGGGGATTGCTTGATTTCTGCTCTAGGGTGGTGATCATTTTTGGTGCTTCAGAAGAACTGCCAATTAATTGAAAGAGACTCACAGGTGGAGTCTGCCCGTTTCGCATTTTGGACGCTCTATCAAAATCTGCAAATGGAAGTCTCCTTCACTATCTTGTGTCTAAGCAAAACAGGATCTATTCTCGCCGTTGCCAGGCATCGAAGTTCGTTGCACACAAAAAGCGGCAGTGGGAACTTCAGATGTTGGTGGGCTTCCTTATCACCAGTTTAACAGATAAAAACGCTGCAATCAAGCTGGATTGCGAAGCGAGATGATCGAGAATAATTTACAGGCTACTGGCTCATTATTGTGTCAGCTTCGGATCACACGGCTCCTGTCTTGGCGTCGTCCCAATGCTCTCATTGTTAGCTTCCGAGCACGGATGAAACTGCTGGGATCTGTTTCCAATTCTTGCTTTCTAGATACTGTTCGGCTCTTTGGCTATTGTCACATTTCCCACAAACAGCATACTTGAACATGGCAGGTGCGCGTGTTGACCCTAAATGCGCAACAAGAGAGAAGGACTGGTTCGATCCGGACGCAGATTGTGATGCGGATGATTACGCTGAGAATATGGAGCGTGCTGAGGCCGCTGCACAAGCTTGCATGGAACGATTCCTCCAGCAACATCAAGAGCAATGCTCCTCTCACGCGGAGATTGCCAACGATGCCGTCCAGGAAGCCTTGTACGACAAGGCTCGAGACCAACAAGACTAGCTTACGCAGGAAGAGCGCAACAATCTGCTTGGCCGTAACGACGTGATCGGAAGAGCGCTCGCCCAGCCAGACTCTCTCACGACTGAGGATGTTCATGAACTGTTCTGCTGGCCACCGCCAGACGTGGTGCGAAACAACATCCAACGCGCCACGGCTGGAACACTCAGCACGCCTGTTGAGGTGTACGCCAAGGCCAAAGAGGCGATAGATCGTGGGCATTTTGAGACGTTCACAAGTGCCGCCGAAGTTCAGCTCCTTACCAACGGGTTTCACGAGAAGATCGACGGTTCATATCCAGCAAGATGTACGGCAGCTTTTCATTCTCCTGGATACGGGCACGCTGTCAATCTGATATCAAGAAGGCTCATCCCGGACCTCATCTTAGTTACCCAGGCTGCCGCCAGACGCCAGTTTCCGCCGAGGGTGTCGAGTCAACCTGTGGCAATAGCGACTCCAATCTCACAAGCTGATTTCCAAGGAGGGCCTTGGCCACTTGCATCGGCGGTGGAGTTGCGCTCTGCCATGCAGATATTCATCAACGACACCAATATCAGAGGCTACGATGCTGGGCTGCGGTGGTCTGCTTTGCCCGAGGCGGAAAAGGAGACCTATCGCACGCGATCTGAAGCGGTCCGACGCGAGGCCTGGGCCTGGTACGACACAGCGATAGCCGAGGTGTCAGAGCGTTGTTTAGAACAGAGTGAAGGGGTCTTCCACATGGTCCGCAGGTAGTTTAGAATATAGGTATGGGATAGGAATACATCTGAATTCTGGCCCTCCGCAGCTTCGGGGGGCCCTCCGCGGCCTATATATACGTTCTCTCATGACCCTTAGCCCCTGGCCAGCCCCCCTGGCTTGGCAGGCCCTGGGCGGTTCCGCAGGGTCCTGACACGAGGACCCAGATCGCTTCAACCCTCATCGCGTTGCACCACATCGTGTGCCACTTGAAGTGCATGTGTCTCAGACAGAGGGAGGGAAACAGCGGTATCAGGATGTCGCACGGGAACGGGACTTTGGCCGAAGATACGAGAAACAGGTGTACGGAATGCCTCAAATTATCACGGGCCTTGGATTATTCTGCGACAAGAGGAGTGTGGGAACGAGTTCTCAAGAGTTTCATGAGGCATTGCAGATATGGCGGGCCATGTCTGGGGAGCAAAGAGATAAGTACAACGAAGAGGCCAAGTCACTCAAGGCCACTGAGCAGGCTGCCCATCGCTAGGAAAGGACTCAAGGACATGAAGAGTCTGATAACATCTCATTAGACTGGAACAGACGATCACCTGGACGAACGGTATATTAAGAAAAGCACTTCAACATGTCTCCATAGACATGCGTCTCGCAACCAAAGCCAATGAAGTGCATCAGATCTAGGTCTAAGATACTGTAGAGAACAAAAACTACAACCTTTACCAAGCCTTACTCACCAGCCAAAGTCTACAAAGATGCCTTCGTAGGGTCGATATCGCCCATGGCCTTTGAGTACCACGACTACAAAAGCTGTCAGTCTCGTCCGAGAGGTTGTATTTCGGGGCAGTTGGGAACTCACAATCTCGATGCCCGCGCCGACGTTCTTCAGGCCAATCTTCTGGAGGAACCATGGCGATTCGATCTTCTTCGCGTACAACTTCGCCGAAGCATCGTCAATCTCCTTGTTGAACACAGTGTTCAACGGCAGCGACGGGTTTAGCACCGCCGGCCGGCCAACGCCGACGGCATCGCAACCGCCGTCGCGGACAGCGCTCTCCATGCCCTGCCGCGTGCGGAAGCCGCCAGTGACAACGAGCGGCACGTCGGGGAACTGATCGCGGATGGCGGCCGCAAAGTCGAGGAAGAAGGCCTCGCGGGCCTTGGTGCGCTCCGACTTGCCTTCGACAGCAATGGGGCCACGACTCATCTGCGACCTGTCAGCATGTCTGAACAGCGATTTGACGGACGCGCGTGGGGGGGTGGATGCTTACCGTTGGGTCCTCGTATGAGCCACCGCTGACCTCGATGAAATCGACGCCAGCCTGCGCGATGAGCTTGAGCTGCTCAACGCAGTCGCTGAGCTCCGCCTTGCTCTGGTGATCGACCGAGTTGAGCTTGATGCCGACGCAGAACTCCTTGGGCACCACGGCCCGGATGGCCTCGACGATCTCGACCGCGAACCGCGCCCTCTTGGCGGGCGAGCCGCCGTAGGCGTCTGTTCGCGTGTTGGTCTTGGCCGAGAGGAACTGCGCGACCAGATAGCCGTGGGCGCCGTGCACCTGCACACCCTGGAACCCGGCCTCGGCGGTGATGCGCGCCGTCTCGGCGAACCGCCTGATGACGTCCTTGATCTCGTCAACGGACATGGCCTTGGGCGTGCCAAAGGCGATGGCGCTCAGGGCGCGCGAGATGGGATCGTCGCCGAGACGCAGCGGGACGGCGCTCGGGGCCAGCGTCTTGGCGAAGAAGCTCCTGTCGCCGGCACCCGGGGGTGACTGGCGGCCCGGGTGGTTGATCTGGACAATGGTCGGGGTGCCGTGGGCGTTGCAGACGGCGGCCCACTCCTTGAAGCTGGCGAGAACGGTCGAGGCCTCGACGGCCGAGCTGACGGCCGTGTCGCGAGGCTGGCCGAGGTGGACCTCGTCGACCTGGACGTTGCCGGTCAGGACGAGGCCCCAGCCGCCAGCGGCCCAGGCCTTGTAGGGGCGAAGGAAGGACGGCGTGGGGAGGTGAGATTTAGTATCGGCTAGCTGCTCGGTCATGGCGGCCTTGACGAGGCGATTAGGCAGCGTGAGACCGCATTTGAGGGTCAGAGGCTTGCTGATTTGGAGATCCATGGTGTTATGATGCCTGGTCAGGGGTGCGATGGAATTCTGTTTCGCTCCCTGTTGGTGGGCTCCGATAGATGGTTTGTTGGTTCTGACAGTGTGTGAATTTGAGATGGATCAAGCATGAACACGTTCCCTGGGATGATGTGAGTTTTCACAGCCAGCCTCGCCGTCAAAAGGTTTGACGTTATTGGCACTCTGACTCGGACCTGAAGGCCTGATCTGATTACTGGATTGGGACACGCGTGTCAGTCTCGGCACATCTATCCTCCCGTTCGGGGAGCCCGAGTCCGTGGGACATGCTGTGCGGCATTTGTCATCAAGCCGATGGGCCGCTTGGATCCTGTCTTTGATATAGCGCTCTACTCATTCCGGGAAGCAATGGAATCCTCTGATCGTAGCCACAATGATGCCAGAGCGGCGGTCTCTAGTGTCTGAGTGGTTACAGAGTGGTTACACAAAGTGAGCAAATGCTGTGAAGTCTGTGAAGTCTGTCGCCCAGCAAATGACTGTTGCTCGTTCACCCAGCTGCAGCTTAAGGTGCTGACGGCAGGGCCAAGACGGGTGTCAACCCTGTCCAGGCCGGCCGGTATGTCTGACTCGGTTTCAGCTCTGGGTCAGCAGCACATGATTCGGGCAGCGCATGGTGCCTTTTTCTGTGGCCAGACACAAAGTCTTCGGGTTGAGCCGATCACAACGTTCTGCTCGTCAAGACCTCTAGAAATGTGTCCACTGGGCTGTCTGCCTTCAACCCTTCTTCACAAATAACTTGATGGCTGTGCCGAAGATTGAAAAAAGTGGTTCGCGAAGGCCTAATCGATGTCTACAAAGGTTGACAGATATTGAATTGACCGCTGTCCATGGGCTTAGCCGCTGTCCATGGGCTTAGCAGCAGTCAATCTTTGCCATGGGCCTCATGATGAATTCATGACGCGAAGAGTCAAGCGCCAAAGAAGACAGATTCCCGACGCCTACAGCGTCCACATTATCGCAGTATTAATATAGTGTCGTGTTATTCGCCTTGCCTCCCGCCGCCATTCGGAGCCCTCAGGCCATGGGATGACTTGATTGCACGGCATCACAGTATCCCAACAGTGAGCCACACAACAACATCAGACCGATCGATCATCGTGCTCATCGCTGGGAGATCATTTCGAGCGACATTTTCCCGTTCTCCCATTCTCAAGCAAGCCGAGGATCAAAAGGCCATGCAACCTCAAAAGAGGATGAGCCCCCTGAAACCTCAAGCCCCTGTTCCCGCCCAATTCTGAATCACACCCAAGCCGTCGCATGGCCCGGCCTTCAGACGGCATGCGTCTCCAAAGCCCGTGAACCTCCTCCGAACCAGCGTTCTGGAACACAATCAGTCAGAGATGACCTGCCATCTGGTCCCAATGCAGCCACCACGACCGCCAGACCGTCCATCGACGTGCTATTCCTCGGTGATGCATCCCGGTGACAGATCAGGAGCTGCGACGAGGCCCAGGGCACATCCTCCGCTGCGAGAGCTGGTTGATCGCGCCGGCATAAGAACCGATCATGGCCCTGACGATCTGCCATTCTCTCCATTCGCTACCACAGACTCAGTGAGCTCTTCCATTCTCTCTCCTTCAGGCAAGGAACATTCTTTTTTTCGGTATTCTTCTTCCTCCCGTCGTCGATCATTTCCACCTCTGTCGCTTTCGCCTCCAGTCTCTCGTTGCACGACGCTCTTGCTACCCCCATATATACCATCACCATGCAGTTCTCCATCGCCATCGTGGCCGCCAGCGCCAGCGTCGCTCTCGCAGGTCCGTCCCCCCTCCACGCCCAAGCGCCACGCACAGCAGCACCCCCAAAGCACGCACCGCACCGCTAACGCCCAAGACAGCCCCCTCCTGGAGCCTCTTCCGCCGCCAGGCCAACGCCTGCTTCATCACCGGCACGACAGCCCTGCCCGCCATCGTCGAGGAGGACGTCGCCGGGTTCCAGGACCTCGTGACGTGCGACGCCGGCACCACGACGATCCAGGGCATCCCCGACGTGCAGGCCGGCAACGTCAAGTTCTCGTCCGTCAACTTTGCCGACGCCGCCGCGGGCGGCGTGTCGCCGCTGCAGTTCGCGCTCGACACGTTCGCGACGACGGAGCCGCTCGCCGACAATGACCTCAACACGTTCACGAACCAGCTCGTCGTGTACCTCGCCACCGAGGCCGGCATCCGGTCCAACGGCGGCGATGTCGGCCAGATTAAGATTCCCAAGTTCTTCCTCGAGATGCAGGTGTCGCGCATCCGCGTCGCGCAGGGCGACACGCCGGCTGAGGCGGGCCTGCAGGTCGATCACCTGCGCGACAAGGTGCTGACGAACGGCGCGGCCGAGGACCAGGCGCTCAAGGACCAGGTGACGCAGCTCGCGGCGCAGACGGCGTGAGGCGTTGCTGCTGCTGCTGCTGCTGTTGCTGCTGTTTCTACTGCACGAGTAATGGGAGGGCGCGGCTGTAGAATCTTGGGAAAATGGGTCATTTCTGGCGTTGGGTACATGAGTACATTAGATACATGACGGCCACGTGAGCCTGTTGGTACAATGGAAAAGAATATCAGAAAAAAAAAATCGGTAATAAGACAAGCACCAAGAGGGTGTGAAAGGAGAAAGAGTGACATGATGCGTCGGACCACTGTAACCACCTCATCTTTACATTACTGCGCCGGGAACTCCTGAACCCAACTGGTTCTTCTCAAGAACAACAAACGCCGGAGTGGAGAGCAAAAGCTCGCAAACGCCCGAAACGCCGACTCATCACTGCTGGCGCTCCTTCTCCAGACGGGCGGCTTCGCGCACCTCGGCTCCAGTGGCACGCCACCAGACATCGGTGCCCCAGCGGATCATGCGCTCGGCGGCGGCTAGCGGGGTGACGGCGGGTCGGACGTCGAGGTAGAAGACTGGGTCACCAGAGGGCTCAGGCTCGCCGGAGTAGTAGTCGATGATGTAGCGAATCTCCTCCGTCTCGTTGCCAATCTTGCGCGTGACATACCAGTCGTGTCGGTCAAAGGGGGGCTCGGTGCTGTTGTTCATCGTCAGTATTCCTTTTTTACTCAAGCTCACGGGCACGAGGCAAGACTCACGCAAACTTGGACGGGTAGATCCAGCCGAGTACCTGCATCATGGTGGCCTTGGGTGTCATGTCCTTGGGCCTGCCCTGGAAGCGCGTCAGGGTGGGCGGGATCTCCTTGCCGGTGCGCTCGGCCTCGATCATGTCGGGGGCGTTCTCCTCGCCACGGCTGCACATCCTGAAGCCCTTGTAGAGGCCCTGTGAGAAGCGATCTTCCCAGCCGACAATCTCGGCCCAGGCGCCCTCGTTGAGGAAGTTGTGGCAGGCCACCATGGACTCGACAGCTGTGATGTCCGTGTCGGTGTAGCCCTTGCGCAAGAGGGCGTTGTACATCTGCTGCGGCGAGGGATACTCCCAGTTGCCGTCGCCCGAGCCGCGGGGGATGGTCGAGGGTTCGCGAGAGGTCGGGAGGCTGATGGCCTGGTTGCTGGCGGGGGCCTGGGAGATGTCCTTGAACATGTAGTTCAGGGGGTTGATCTGGGAGAGGAAAGACTTGGGCTGTGTCTCAGCGGCGGCGGCAGCGGCAGCAGCATGCTGCGTGTGATCCACAGGACACGACGATGGCGGTGGTGCGGCAGCGCGCTGGGTGTGGTCGATGGGACAGGAGGCGGGTGCTGCGGCGGCAGGCTTGGGTTTCGGGAGCGTAGGGTTCAGAGCATCGACGGTCTTTTGGTGCATGGGGCATCCAGGCTGGGAGTTTACACGTCAATACCGTCGGTGTGACGAAGAGGAAGTCATGGAAAGACATACTGGTGGTGTCCTGGCGCTGAGATCTGAAGGGTGGTTGTGAGGTATGGCAGCAACGGCGGGAGCCTGCGCATCAGCCCAGAACCAGCCCATGTTGAGTTTGTTGATGAGTCTTGATTAGAATAATATCCCTGGTTTTCCGGGGTGTATAACGTTGTCGTGGAAGATGTACGTTGAATGCGAGTATCGTAGGGTCTAGGGGCGAAAGGAGACAGTGATATCACCAAGAAATGTCGACAGCCAAAATTTCCAGGCCCATGGTCAGCAAGAGCATCGTGGATCCACCTGCCCCGTCGCGTTCTGCCTTCCGCCCGATAAGATTTCGCCATCGCCCCGCCGCGGTACGTACCTCCGCAATGTCCAACCCGATTCATTTTCATTGCCTTCTCTTCGCGGCCCGTAGAATGCACATGTTTCTCCGAACCTTACCCGACCAATCAGTTGACGTCACCAAGATGGCTCTCCAGATGCGTCGCGCCGCGGCAGGGGCTGCGGGACGAAAGCTCCTTCCCATCATGACATGACGCGACAGACGCCCTCCAAGGGCACAATTGACTCAACTATATCGATTTTCGACCTTCAGACGGCATCATGAGAGAGCGATAGTATTGCTTTTCTTCTTGCCATCCACAACACTCATCCCCCATGAGCGCGCCCTTCGTGCTGGGCCGCTTCTGTGCGCGCCCAGCCTTCCGACAGGCTATCCGACCCCTCGATCGTGGATGCTTCCGCTGCTGGGCCTCCTCCTTCACCCAGACGACACGGCGGCTGCCGCGACAGACGAGGACCGCTCGCTTTGCGAGGATAGCGCTGCGAGCTGGAGGCACCGGTGCCCTCGGTACAGCAGCATTCTTCGAGCTTTCTCAAAAGGACAATGAAGGCACAGACCAGACTGGCGAGGGGCGGATGCTCGAGGCCAGCAGGGCCGAGATCAAGAAGAAGTTGGATGACAATGACGTTGGCTTCTCGAGGTTATGGCACTCGCTTCTCATCGGCTTGGACACGTATGTTGTCGAACCAGTCATGACGGGCATTCGCTTCTTGCATCTCGTCATCATTTTTGTACCTGTCATCGTGACAGTGCCAGTCATCTGGTTCGGCGCTCGCCAGCCCAGCCGCGACAACGAGCGGAGCGGAACATTATGGTGGTATGGCTTCCTCGTGCAGGCCATGGAGTGGGCTGGTCCGGCCTTCATCAAGGTGAGAAGTGCTCATGCTCCTGTGTCGCAGCACGTCTGACGCGCCTCCAGCTCGGCCAATGGGCCGCTTCTCGATCAGACATCTTCCCGACGGAGATGTGTGAAATCATGTCAAAACTCCACTCCAACGCCCCCGCCCATTCCCTCCACGCAACAAAACGCATCGTCTCCCATGCCTTTGGCGGCAAGTCCTTTGAGGACATCTTTGACGACTTTGACGAGGAGCCTCTCGGCGTCGGCGCCATTGCGCAGGTGTACAAGGCCAAGCTCAAGCCAGGACTGGCGGTACCGAGCGATGGCGATCTGCCGCGAGAGCCCAGCCTCCTGCGCCACAAGGTGGTGAGGAATGTCGAGACGGCGCTCAAGAGCTCCCCGAAGCGCGTACCGTCATCCTATGTCGCCGTCAAGGTGGTGCACCCCAACGTCGAGCGCACCGTGCGTCGCGATCTGCGCATCATGTACTTCTTCGCCTCGGCCATCAACATCATCCCCACCATGGAATGGCTGTCGTTGCCCGATGAAGTCGCGCAATTTGGCGAGATGATGAAACTGCAGCTTGACCTGCGCATCGAAGCCGCCAACCTCGCCATCTTCCGCAAAAACTTTAAAGATAGGAGTACGGCCTGGTTCCCGTACCCATACACCGAGTTCACCACGCGCAGTGTGCTTGTCGAAGAGTTTGCCCAAGGCATCCCGCTCGCCGACTTTATGGAGAACGGTGGCGGTGTCTTCCAGCAAGATATCGCCGAGGAGGGGCTGGACGCCTTCCTCCGTATGCTGCTTATTGACAACTTTATCCATGCCGACCTGCACCCCGGCAACATCATGGTTCGCTTCTACCAGTCAGAAAAGCCCAGTCTCATGAGCTCTCATGAGAAGCACCCCGACGAAGGCGACGACGTGACGGAGCAAGTCCTGGCCCGCCTCCGCCCCTACCGCCACCGCAAAGACCCCGCAGCATGGGAAGCTGAGCTTAAGAAGATTGAGCACGAAGGGTTCCACCCGCAACTCATTTTCATCGATACAGGTCTCGTCACCGAGCTCAACGCCACGAACCGCACCAACTTTCTCGACCTCTTCCGGGCCGTCGCCGAATTTGATGGCTACAAAGCTGGCAATCTCATGTGCGAGCGCTGCCGCCAGCCCGACGACGTCCTCGACCAGGAGATCTTCGCGCTCAAGATGCAGCACCTCGTCCTCGGCGTCAAGAGCAGGACCCTCGCCCTCGGCAACATCAAGATTGGCGACATCCTGCAGCAGGTCCTCGGCATGGTGCGCGGCCACCACGTGCGCATGGAGGGCGACTTTGTCAACGTCGTCATCAGCATCCTGCTCCTCGAGGGCATCGGCCGCAGCCTGAACCCGGACATGGACCTCCTGAGCAGCTCGCTGCCCATCCTGCGCCAGCTGAGCGCGCAGTCGGGCGCCGAGATGGCCAAGCATGGCGACTTTTCCATGCTCTTTGTGTGGATGGGCCTGGAGACGCGCAAGTTCCTCCAGGCGAGTATTGAGGATGTGCGTCTGCTGCTGGTCCTTCTTGTTTGTTTCTCTGCTGACATCTTGAACAGGTGGAACGCTTGGTTAAATATGATCTCCTTGCGCCGAATGTATAGATGTATAGATGTAAAGATATTGCCGTCTCATACGGATCTGTTTCCGACATGGTCTGGCATGGTCAAGGTCTACCAAGATCTTGAATAGATGCCTCTCGTGTCTTTTCGCTTTGCGTTTTATGGTTGTTAGGCCTCCCACCAACGGGAGGGTCGAGGAACAGTCATCGATGGTGGCAGTCCATGGATGATGCCCCGTCATGTGGAATAGTGCACCAAGTGAGACGCTGTTGGCCTGCCCGGACATTGAGTTGCACTTCTGAGCCCATTCGAAATACTGGGCTGTCTTGACTGAAGCTCTTTTGCCAGGTACGCTGACCAGGAGCCTTCCTGGTCACGCGGCGGGATTTTCATCGTCAACGACTTTCATGTGGCTGAACAGAACACACTTTGGCCTTTTCGTCCGTCTTCTTTCACATTGACATTCTGGAACAGCTCATTCTGCCAAACATTGCGGCCACCACTATCCTACCGCTTTTCACTTGTTTGGCAACTCCATCACTATGGGACATCCCGGATACCCAGTCAATCCCGACTCTGGTAGAGTCCGTGAATAAATTCGACCCCGCGAGAACCGATGTTTCCCTAGGCTCTCCGTGCGGTCAACCAAGAGGTCAACGAACATTCGCTGTAGTGCCGGACATCGGGTCGTGGACACTCTGGTTAGGCCTCCATTGGCATACCATACACCAGCACCTGGCTCGAAAGTCTCTCGAGGCAGCCTCTGAGTGTTGGAGGAACAGTGCAGGCGTTCAAATATCTCCTGGTCTTACTTTTTGTTGGAATTCTTACTTTCGATTGGGAAAAAACAGTGTCTTCAATGGTAGCTCGTCTGTTTGGCATTTCGGGCACTTTGTTCGATGTTCTGGTGTCAAAAGCACATGCATAAATTGGATAGAGCATTGGCCAAACCTGACCAACAGGTCACCAGTTGGCTCTCGAACTGTTCATACGGGTACAATACGTGTGTGTCAATTTGTGCAGAATATAACCAAAGACTGTTCGTAGGCTGCCTTGCACACCTGGTCCCATGCCAAGCGTTACCATGTGCCCTCTTGAGCTCACAGATTATCCATCTCCATGAGCGTGGCGGATTCCAGCCACTGCCCCCAATTCATGCTCGCCTCGCCATTCATGTCCATGTCAGCTCCTCCAAGCTGGTCAAAGTCTGCCATATCCCAGGACCCAGGGGTCAGGTCTAAGCCCAATGAGCCACTCCTTGACCAGTCCACCGGCAGCCCCATCTCATCGAGTTGGTCGTGAGACGCCCCCGCAATTTCATGCGGTTGCGTATACTCGTCGCTGGGAAACCACTCACTGAATGGCGTCACACCATATTCGCTATCGTGTCTCGCAGGCGAAGCAAACTGCATCGCCCCTGCGTCATCTCGCTTGATGGAAGCAAGATCACCATGGCCACCCTGCAGCGGCCCGGACACAAGATCCCGCCAGTGTCTCGCGAACAACTCCAAGCCGTCCCCGCCCTTGAACGGCCCAGGGCTGACGGGCACCGGGACGTGCTCCTCCTGCCTCTGCAGCGCCTCGGCGGCAGCCGGGTCGGCGCGCAGCCGCCAGAGCTCAGCATCGCGATGGCGCCGCGCGCGCCGCATGAGGCGCCGCAGCGGGATCCACACGCGCGCGCTCTTGTCGCCCTTGGGCTGCGGCGGGATCAGCCAGCGGCTGTGCAGGGCGACCCAGGCGCGCTCGACGACGGCGGACCACGGGCGGCGCGACGCCTCGATGAGGAGGAAGACAATGGCGTGCCAGTGCGTGTACGTCTCGACGATCCAGCGCCACGGCTGGCTCGCCGGGTCGGCGCTGAGGACGTGGTTGAACTCGGCGAC